CGTGGTTCTGGGACATGGACTTCTCTCTCATCTAGCCATATAGTAGTATTACATATATGGTCTGATGCGTTCATGCGGTCTATGCGCATAATTTGTAATTCGGAACGAGCAACGAGTACCGGACAATACAACAGTGAACGGACGAATATTTGTGATTTGCGATGGAACAGCGATTACAGCAATTGCATGATTTCCAGATCTTATTAGAGGATAAAAAAATGAAGTATTAACTTTATTTTTAAATGAAGAGGATATGGCGAAAATAAGCCAAGATAAAATTAATGGCATTATTCAACAAAAATTAGAAGGGCGAAGTAAGAGTCAGAAATAAATTACATTTAAAATAATATTAAAATGTTAACATAATAGAAATATTACAAAAAATTGCTTAAAATTAAAAACATGATGCCCGTTACTTGAAATTAAAAACATGTTGCGCGTAACAATTGTTAATTTTAAGCAATTTTTTGTAATATTTCTATTGTAAATATGTTAACATTTTAATATTATTTTAAATGTAATTTACTTCTGACTCTTACTTCACCCTTTTAATTTATGTTGAATATTGTTATATTAAAAGTCTTTGAATATTTTCATCAAAATTAATGGCATTATTTTACTTTGATTTATTTAATGTATAGATTAGACGTTATATTAATTAGGAATTACGCGATCGACGTAATCTATAATTTTTTCAACTCCAATTTGTTTTCCACGTGATTTATCTACCATTTAATAGAAAAAATAACTTCTGCATATTACTTAGAGATATGCCTTTGACTTCATTTTTACTATCGCTCGAGTCGGAACTGTCATTGCCGCCATCGGAACTTTCATCATTTTTCTTTAAAAGTATTAAAGAAGAAATTACAATTATTGGAAATTGTTTATTGACGTCTTGTATAGCGTCTATCTTGAACTCGCATAGAATGCATAGGAAATCGTTCCGAATAACTAAAGCGCTTTATGCGCATTGACTTAAACGGAACGATTTCAAAGCGTTATGCTGGATTCACACTGCATCCGACTTTCTTCGTACGACGACTCTGCAACCAATCAGAAAAATCGTATCATCGATACGAGGCAAAATCTTGTTTTCTGATTAGTTGCAGAGTCATCGTACGACGAAAATCGGATACAGTGTGAATCAGCATCTGTGTACATACGAGTCTATTAAGAATAATCACGTGGTTGAGATGACGCACGCAGGCGTACAGAAAATCCCGCCAAAAAGATTTGTCCCACCACTTAGTTCCCAACCAATGACAATGAGGACACGTATCAAAGATGCGCTGTAAAAGCCAATCACCGAGCTAAGTTTCGATCACCTATTTTTCTTTAGGTCTGTTCTTTAGGTCTGTTTGTATTGCTTAAATCTCCTAAAATTTTTGTACTTAGCGACTCACAGTGAGATAAATAATATACTATTACTTTGAATAGTCAAAGATATACTGTAATTCTACGAAATATAAAATTATTTTTTCAATTAATTTAATATTTTTTACGTAAGTCATATCATTTATATTTTTTACTATATATTTATTTTTATTGTATATATATTATTTTTATTACTAATTAATTTATTAATTATATTAATAATGCTTGAAAATAACAATTGTATGCATAATGATATACATATATTTAAATACAATGCATCTAATTGCAGTAAAATCACATTTGTGAATTCGTGCCACAAGAGCAATATATATAGTACATATGTATAAAAATGCAAATAAAAGATTTGTTCGCGTTGCTTACACTTTTTGTATCTGCTTTTTCTCTCTTCAACGCCTGAATATCTATATATAGTCATGCATAAATGCTTGGATAAATTTGCGGAAGTATCTGTATAACTTCTAAAACAATCAGTGATTGCTTTAAAATCTATGTTGCAATTTATTACGGTTTAAATGACAGGTATATTTAAATTCGAAAGAATAAAAAGGAAGGAAAAAATTGTAGGAAAAAGAAATATAATAATTTGTTGTATATATTTTTATTAGTTGCACTTTCTCTACACTTTCTTTATATATAATTCCTTTTATTCTTCTATTAATTTATTGTGATCTTCATGATTGAATCTTAAGACATCAGTTTTTAAATGCTACTTAATACAGCTTTGTGATTAGCTTATATATGATATATTCTAAGACTGTAAGATATATATAATAATTAATGAATTGATTAGTGGATACAATTATTGATCAAACTAATAAAAATTTTAAACATTATGCTTTTAATAATATGTACAATTTTAATATATTCATCTGATTATTTCTATAAATAATAAATTTATTATAAAGTCGTACATTTTATTAAAAGCTTAATATTGAAATTTTTTGTCATTTAATTTATCTAATAATTGGATCATATCCACTAATTGTCTACTGGTACATTTATCTTACTTAAAATGATTCGACTATAAATATCGATTTTTTATTTCTATTTTTTTTTATTAAAAAATAGTCCCAAAATTAAATTCTACTCGGTCGTAAAAGAAGAGACCAACGTGATTCACCGTTCCACTGGTTTTAACGTCATCGGGCCCCAACAATAGATGGCGCTATAATAAAAATTTCCAGTCGCCTGCGTAAAACAGAGATCGAGCGAAAATCGCCAACTTCAGCTTCGTTGAAGCGATGTCAGAGGCTCTGTAAAGTGTAACATTCACTGGCATTCCCATTTACGCGGTGATCGCAGCTTACATTTTTACGTACGAGATCCGCGAGATTCGGGTCAGCTTGGGGAGAAAAAACGGGCTCGCGATCGTGACTCACTTCCGCTGTCTACGTCACCGTTGGCGAAAATAAGGTTCGTTTGCCCGCTCGCTCGCTACGCGACAAAAACCTTGGTAGCATCATCGGGGTACCACCACCTGGACATCCGCGCGTGACACATTGTTGCTCATTCCTTGTCGCTGACGTGCCTGTTGCTGGGAAGGAGCATCCGACGATGGTGAGTAGCACGGGAGTGCGTTGCCGTCCGCGTGCGATGCAGAAATACGTCGACCGTCACGAGCTGACACGACGAGCATGCGTCTAAACGAGTCCGCTACGTGCGTATGTTCGCAGGCGTCTTACTCCGAGGATCAGCTGGCCGGTAAGTGGAGGGCGACTTGTGTAACGACAGCCGTGCAGAACGAGACCGAGAGAGAGATAGAGAGAGAGAGAGAGAGAGGCTCGCGATTGCGAACGAATGAGTGAATGAGGGAAGCGATACAGTCGATGGTCCACGCCGCGCCGCGCTCTTCTCCCCGGGGCTTTTAATTCAGGTCAAGAGTATCCTCGCCTTTTCAGACGCACCCTCGACGTGTGTGCGCGCGCGCGCGCGCTGTCGAGGACTGCCTTTTATGGTCCGATATTTGAAAGCAAGTCGCCGCTGTGCCATAGGCATTGTGAAGGACTTCATCACGCTCCTGGCCTCTTCGAGACTCGCTGATTATTCTTGTTTTATTCTCGCGAGTATATACGAGTCATATGCATTGTTGATACAAGACGCGCTTAAGGATTGACCGATGTAAGACGTTCTTGGTGTTTTAACATTATCACGTTTGTTATAGTAATTGCTAAGTGATAAGCCTTACTTTTCTCTGCAAAAGTTCCAAGATGTACGTTTATAGCTATCAGGAGCTGGCTAATAGAATGATGTCATCTATGGAGGGTAAACAATCCTTTTATTGGGTGGTACTCTTGCACAGTAGATAATTATTATAATTATAACTCTTGATACACACCATTGGATCATTCGTGATCCAATCGTGATCGAGCATTTTTTTTCTTTAAGATACTAGAAGAACCTGACTAAATAACAGTCTTCATCCTTTGCTTTTTTTAAATACACGATGTTACATATATTTTCGAAAGATATATATTAAGGTATATATAAGAATCACTTGATAATTTTTTTTTGTATATTTGTAAAAGTGATGAAAATTTATCCAAACCAAACTGGATAATTATCGCGTGTGTAAGAGTTAATATAATAGTGGTAAAAAGAAGTACACACAACACAAACAAAATTTATTTTTCTTTCAAATATTCTTACATTACTATATAATAAGTAAGCAAAATAAATTATATTTGTTTTCAGTGTACAGTTCAGACATTCTTCGAAAAAAAAGAACAGGCTTATCTTTATAAAACTTGTTTTATCATTTATATTATAATTCTTTCTTTCTCTGTTCCTAAAATTATTTTTATATATAAGGTACGAATCGAACGCTTGAAATTGATTAAAAGTAAGTGTATTGCTATAGAATTCCAGGAGGCGTTTCAGTTGTTTGACAGCCGTGGGGATGGAAAGATTCATGTGTCTCAAATCGGCGATGCGTTACGTGCTCTTGGTCAAAATCCTACCGAATCAGACGTGAAGAAGTTCACTCATCAGCATAAACCGGACGAGCGTATTAGTTTTGAAGTATTTTTACCGATCTACCAGGCAATCAGTAAGTCCCGTGCCTCCGATACGGCGGATGACTTTATTGAAGGCCTGCGTCACTTTGACAAGGATGGAAACGGTTTCATATCTTCTGCGGAGTTGCGACACCTCCTGACGACACTCGGTACGCATTAAACAAATTACTGACAAATACATAGTGTGCGCAGAATTTTTATCTGTACCGTTGCAGGTGAGAAACTCAGCGACGAGGAAGTGGAAACGTTACTGGCAGGTCACGAAGATTCACAGGGTAATATCAACTACGAAGATTTTGTCCGTCAAGTTATGTGCGGATAAGCTTAGCTACTTAAACGCACATAAGAGAGTATTATTATTATTATTATTATTATCGTTTATATATTTTGCCATTTATTCATCGAATCTGTTAAAGCGTTTTACTTTTCGAAATATCATATCATAGCATGTGTACCTATGACAATTTATCTCGAGGGAACCCTAATGTGAACATACTATTTTATTACGTACTATGAAAAAGGTTAGTCCCTTTTATATAAGAGTCTAAATTAATAGTTAAACAATGGTAGATAAAGAACAATCTAGCGCATTGTGCCTTGACGTATACTCCGATTTACGAGCATTTAGTGATATCGATAGTAAGACATACACCTATTGTACGATCTTCAGCGAGATATCTGAATTCCGCGGACATTCCAAATTTTTGTAAGATAGACTCCGAGAATTGAGAATGTCTGGCCGCTCGAGAGCGAAGGCCGAGCATTTGGTTTATGCTGCCGACACTTAATGGCCATGTACTTTTCTCCTTTTTTTTTTATCCTCATCGAATTCAATATATCTTCTATGTAGTTAAAAAAACGTATGTTCGAGAATCTTCCATCTACTGATAGATGTCCTAAACAAAAGTAGGCAGAGAATATCCACTTTATTTATTTATGCATATGAGCGTATTTATGTCTTCGAAATGCGCAAGAAAAGATTATTGTACATTGCAATGAATAAAAAAGAAATTGCTCTAAGAATTTGATGTAAAACTTTGTCGATGATGCCTCTTATAAATAAAACGGGAGCATATTTCTTGCAATGATCGTCGAATATAATCGTGTTATCAATTGGAAAATTCTAGAATTTCTTTCACAAAGAAGCCTTATATTTATTTTTACAAATGTATGTTAATTTGATCTTGATTTAACTTACTTTTTCTAGTTCTAGGAATTAAAAAAAGATAAAGAGTTAAAATGAATCTATAACATCCGTCTCAATCAATGTAGTTTAATTTTAATCTTGGTTTAATTAACTCTCCATCTTTTTTTAGTTCTAAGAATTAAAAAAAAAAGAAAAAGAAACGACCGTTAGAAATACACAATAATCTGTTGAGTAAGCACTCCGAAATAAATGTCTTGATTAGATAATCTTTTTATTTTTTTCTACTCGCACAAATATATTTTTCGAAGCTTTAAAAGTACAGTTAACTCTGAACTTTTAAAGTTTACTCTGCCTTCAAAACTTCGAAAAATATATTTGTGCAAATATAAAAAAATAAAAATATATTTATGATATATATTTGTACATTTTTTAATATATCCATATTGCTATTAGTTATATCAAATGTAAAATTGTATAATTTTTATATCAAAATCTTCGAAGCATATCATCAACTCTAGTAGAGAAATAAGCATTTATTGTCTAATCGAAGATTCGAATTTTTTCAAATTTTCGAAGTTTTCAAAAGTTATCAACCTTAATTTCTACCAATATAGAATTCTTATATACGATTTAATCATTCGTGTCCTACACATCTCTTTTTTTTTCGAAAAATAAGGAGTAAATAGATTTTAGAAAAAAATAAGTTTAAAACCAAGATTAAAATTAATCATTAGTAAAAACGAGTATTAATAATTCTTTTATATTAAAATAATGAAAATTAATCCAGAATACAAAAATGATTGTGTGCAGCGAAACACCGGATAATCACTGTGTGTACTGAGTCAGCTTTATAATCTTGGTTTAATTTATCCTTTTTTAATTCTTAGAACAAAAAGTAAGTAAAACCACAAGATTAGAATTAATCTATATGGGTGAAAAAGAGCATAAAGTCAGTATTTGATTCTTGAGCGTTTCAGCATTTGGAGATCCGCAAATGGCGCTTGAGTGCGCATGCGCGAGTTTGCCGCGCGTTGATTCGTGGATCGTTTGATCTGACGTCACGAGGTAGAACGTAGAACGCCAGCGGACGGCGCGGCGCTGTATATGTCGTGAAGTCGGCCGCGACTTTCAGCAGTGTCGCTTCGAACATTGGCGAGTGAAGGACGTATACCGAGAGTTGCCGCATCAGTTCTCATCGATCGCTACTTCAGCGAACATTTCGTGTTGGAGCGTATACTTAAAGCCGCCAAGATTTTACGAAGAAAGAAGTATGAGTATTAGACCCAGTCCGTCGTTAAGTAGTGGAAGTAGTAGAAAGCCGGTAATGCCGGATTTAATTGTCAGTTGGTGAGTAGCCCAAGCCGCGAGTACACGTAACTGCGCCATTTTTGCCCTCGCCTTCCTTGCGAGTCGCCATCTTGCATGGCGCGTCTTGATCTCGTGTTTTTATTTCTGTGTTTTTTTTTTATCAGCTCCTTTTCGTCATCCTCTCTTCTTCCTTTCTCCTTGTTTATAAACTGCTCTGTCTCGTATCATGCAGCCATCGTCATTATTGCATTCTCTTTGTCAGGCAGATCGAAATACGAGACGGTCTGCGAGTCATGTGAACATTCTTGACTACGATTGTCGTTATCGTAATCGCTGGAAAGAATGCGGTTGGAATGACAACTCGGCATCGTTATCCGAGCTGTCTTATTCATGCCTTGACAGGACGTTCCATTATTGAAAATCGGCCGCGCGGAATCCTCGCGAGTGTATCGATTCCGCGTCGTGGCCACGTAATGAACTCGTCTAAACATCTATTCCGCGTATTACAGATTACGGTATATCTACTAGTTCGCAGGTTCAGCGGCGGATTGCCTCATCAGCTGTTCCGTTAGACGATCGTTTTTAATGGCACGACGCGATGCCTCTCCGAGATGGAGCTTTCTCAAATCGACGCGACGCCGCGTTCTGTCTAAATAATATTTTGCAATCACGCTTACAAGGAGAATAATATTACGAATATCGATCGTTATGTAATGCCAAGAAAAAACGACTTGGCAGTTTGCGACAGTCAAAATATAAAACTCGGGGAAATAAGGATTCCCGAAACGGCGACCATTTTCATCTCAACTCCGTCACTCGCGACCTTCAACTCTTCGACCAGCCTCGTGTAATACCAGAACATTTGTAGAATCTTAAGCTCTGAGGGTCAATCGTGTAACTTTTTCTCTAGACTGGAAATAAAAAGTAAAATTTTTTTGTATGTATGTGTGTACACATGTATACAATACACATATAAAAATGTTTTACTTTTTGCGTTTCCGCTTTAGAGAAAAAAATAACTCGATCAATACTCTGGACGAGGTTTAACCCGCGAGACTATAGACAATGTTCATAGTCCGATCTTGTATTTAAAATCTTATCAGGATCTCAAGATTGCTTATTCGCTACAATGACCTTTATCATTTTTCAATTGATTGAAACAAAGGAACGGGAATATACAGAAAAAAGAAGAAATATTTGGACATGCTTTTACTCCTCTATAATCAGCTTATTACATGAAAATTGCATTTCAAAATTGATATATGAGAAGAATAATTTTTTCTTCTTCGAAGTATCTAAAAATTTAGGTATAGCTCTGAAATAATTATATCGAATTATTAAAATAATTATATAGAACACTGAAGTTGGTTGCTAGAATATCAAAAACTTTTTGCAGTATTGCTCATCAATTTTCTACATAATTATTACGATAGTCTAACAGAATTATTTTTAAATCTATTCAACAAAATTTTTAGATACTTCAGTAAATTCTTTCCGTGTACAAAATTTTAATGATTTAAAATATTAAAATTTATTTCTTATTTTCTTCTGTTCGTTTCTGAATTGCGTTGTTGTAGCAAATGAGCGATCAATGGCTGAGATTATTCATTTTTAAGATTATTGATAATTTTAATGATAAAATCGGGGTATGAACTGTCCTACGATCTCAGCACTCTCACGCGGAGCCGCCCTGTAATATTTTTGTTATTGATCCATGTCAGTATTTTAGAGGCATTACTTCGGAAGCGCTCTAGATATCTAATTTATAGAAAGAATATGATTTTAAAGATACTTATCTAAACGAAAACATGTGTGATATCGAGCACAATCGTTCGACACAGCCGCGTATAACTTTCCACAATTTAAACGATTTGGGATGGCTTAATTAATGGGCGGCGGCTTCCCCTAAAATGTAACATGAAAATGGACTCGCCGACCACGATCAATTAAAAATGAAGATCTTTTTCCATTTTGAGACAATGGAATTCCTCATTAATTTTATGGACCTTCAATTCCGTTATTGGACGACGTTCAATTAGCTTTGAAATTATGCAGCTGAATTCGAAATATACATCATTCTCAAGTATTAAAATTCATAAACAAAAAATATAGTTACGTTGTACCGTCACTTATCAGCTATCTAATCGATTATCTAATCATCTATTTAAAATTATTTTTCAATAATGAAACAGAAACAAATAAGAAGGAATAAATAAATATGTCGACATAAAAAACATTACGTATATATATTTGCAGCCTCATTATTTACGATTTTCGAAACAGAATTTTGTAAAATCATATTTGCATTTATATTTATTAATTCAAGTATACTTCGGTTAACGAATTATACACCATATAAAATAATTTGCTTATAAACAAGAAACATTTGTAGACCGTATTTATCACCATCTGCTCTTTGTTACTGTACATATTAGTTGTGTATGAGCTCTACCGTAATTAATAATGACGATTAAATATGATGTAACGATCTCTTTGAATGTCTTCTTGGATGTACGAGCGTTCACAGTTTGTTCGTGTTCCCAACTAGAGCGAATATTCCGTAAGTGAAACGGTTCAGACAGCGCAATACTCGAATATTATATAAAAAGTAGAAAGTATCTTAAAAATGTTGAAACAAAACGATAGGAACGATTATAAACACTTGAAAAAAAAATACCTCGAATTATTTGAGATAAGGAGAATCTATATCGTTCATAAGGAAAATAACGAGGGGGTCGATATCTCCATGATTCACTCTCTTTTACGATCATGTTCACTTTGCATGAAACGGCAGTGCGCCGTTAAAGCAGCGACATTGGCTTTGTGCTTTCTTTTACAACGGCAGGTGCCTCGTGCCTCGGCCAATCGATATGCGGCCAGCAATGTCGCTTTATCTCACGGTTACATCTTTTGCGACTCAAACGCGATTTCTGCTGAGTTGAGTGTTCGAATTTATTGACAATTATCAAATTATAATATATACAATAAATTTGAATCAAACGATAACGTTGAAATAAAGAGAGGAGCTTGAACGCGAATCATTTTGCACGATTATATTTCTCAAAGGTGGTAGTAACGTACGTGATTCTTATTGCGAAATCATACCCGTCATATCACGGTGATACGCGAACAATAGATAAAGTTCTCTCGTAGCTTTCTATATTTCGCTTACTTGAACGAATTATTATTATGTGTATCTTGAACGAAAAGAACACTGAAAAAAGAATCTGATTGCATTAATTGTAATTCTGGTTGAATATATGAATAAATTAGAATTTTCTGATTAAATCTGTTATAATTGTAATTGAGATATTCAAAATTCTGATTGATACGATCAGAACTTTTTACTTCATTTGTTTTAAACCAGAAATTTTTCAGTGAACGGCTTTGCTGAAATTTTGTATCTAAAAATTTAACTAAATATTGATCTAAAAATAACTTTGTTTGGTCATAAAAGTAATTATATAGAACGCTTAGACACAAAAACTAACAAAAGATACTGTAAAACGTTTTAACGTTTCAGCAAGCATTTAGATAAGTGTCTTATATAATTATTTCAAGCAAAATTATTTTCAAATATTGTATGTAGATTAATAGTTATATAATTCAGGAAAATCGTTTTCTCGCGCATTTATGATTCTTAAAAGGCTCTTCAACAATTTATGAAGAGTAAATTCATATAATAAAAATAAGATGAATAAAATAAATTTAATAAATCCACAGATATTTGATATATTCGCCATTCCTATTTATTTTTCTGCCCTTATGAAAAAATTATTAAACGTTATTAAAAATTTAGAAGTCTCATGATATTTTTCACATTTTACGTTTTATGCACAAATCTTTAATCGATCGCGCATACTCGAAGTATCGTCATCTATTTTTGACTGCATTATTATTGCTCTCAATTGCTTCTACATGATAAGAAAAATGTATTGATAATTGTAATACATTATTAGCTTCTGCATACATTATTGCATTAATCCCACAATTATCGCTTATATGTATCTTTTATATAATTCCAGTGAATTAGATTGTACTTTATACTTATTAGCAATTATTATATATTATAGACTGTAATTAAAGGACGAATCACACACATATTTCTCGTTTATGCAATGACATGTATGTCAGTACATTTTAGTTGTTCAGTAACAACAAACAATATGCTACATGAAACTTTAAAATATTTGTATTCAGATTCCTTTGTACTAAACAGCTAAATTTTGATTTATCATGTTAAAATAAATATAGTTATTTTTAATATTAACTTTAGTGACTAATTCTTGGATCTTAAGTCCATTTTTTCAAACTGATCATTTTGAAAGAATGTGCTAATAAGCACGAATGCAAACATTTTGATAACATTATAAGATTTCTCCTGCGACTCATCTTTAAAAGTCGTTGCACTAAACGGTTGATTGCAAGTGATAATATCATCGCATCGAGAACACTTTGTCGCCGTGGAAGAGTACAATTGGATGATATGTTGCAGGCACGTACGTCTCTAATTAAATTTGTCAATTGGTTCCGAGAAGCTAGAACGATTAATAAAACGCAAGCGGAGCTCGTGCAAGAACGTGCAAGGTCATCGTTGCGTGAAGAGTCGCGCAGCACGAAGGCAAATTATTCTGGAATTATTTTGGTTTTAGTTGTGCGTTTTTAAACTACAATAAGAAAACTTACGCGGGGCCTACAATAGAAGTCGTAGCGGTCGTAGAGTCTTAAAGTCGTAAAAAGTTGACTAATCACAATAGAATATAAGAAGAATAATCGACTATGATTGGTCAATTTTCTACGACTTTTTTTTTACGACTTGCAGGGTATCGATCATGAAACTTTTTCCCTAGGATGAAAAGTGAAAATTTTTACCATTGAAGTTAATGGAGAAATTTTTCACTTTTCACTTTTCATCCTAGGGAAAAAGTTTCATGATCGATACCCAGACCTCGCATTAGGCTTTAATTAGGTAATTGATCAATCATTCTCCTCATATTTGACTGTGATTGATCAGTTTCTTAAAGCTTAACGTCTGAAAATTTTATTGTAGACGCTGCTTTATGTATTGTGTGCCGTATCTTTTCTCTGAGCAGATATCGAAGAAATTGCCGCGTCTTTTATTATACATTCTGACATATCGCAGCGAATGATGAATATTATCATGCTATATTAAACATTCAAACGTAAATAGATGACCTATTATCACATTCTGTATCGATAACATTTGAACTTGGAAATCTCTTTTAATCTCATATCTCCGATTCTTCTCAAGACTTCCATATAATTGAGGACTCCATGAAATTTACTCTTTACATCATTTTTTTAAATTGGAATTCATACGGGATATCGTAGAAACACGCTCGATTTTTGTTATAATTTTACAAATTTTATACCGGAGATAAATATGTATATAGGGAAATCTCTTTTTATTAGTTTATTCAAATCTAAGTGCGACTAATACTGTCAAGAACATTATCAGTTATTATTTTGGATTTTTCACAATCTACTTAAAATTGTAATCTTGCATAATACCGCGATTGCAGTCATTTAAAATAGTACACGGAAAGAGCAGTTTTGCTGAAGAATCTAAAAATTTAGCCATACATATAAGATCTGAAAATAATTTTGTTGAACTATCGAAATATTTTTGTAAGAATTTCAAGCATGATGAACAATGCTACAAAAAGTTTCGACATTTTAGCAATCAGTTTAAACTCCCACATAAGAGAATGTTGAATGTTAATAGTACATTCAAATACTATTCTTGATAATTTATATTGGGAATCATTGTTACACAAAACACAAGATACGGCTATTGATCGCATAATATTCTTATGTTATTACTTGAGGTGATATGCTATAATATATGTAATGGGTGAATTATAGATCTTTATTAATATTATTACTTTTAAGTGGACTATTTGCCTCAATTACTGCAACTATACATACATACGCAGCAGCAAATTATTTATAAATTGCGCGTCATATTAATCTCATTTACAAAGTGCTGCAGGTACACATTTACTCTTTACGTAAGCCTGATATTTCCTAATGTCAAGGCGAACTACAAAACTGCATGTAGAACATTAATGCCACATGGATTATTCGGCCAAAACTGTTGTAGATGTAAGCGAACCGACCGATCACACATATTTCTCTCTCTCCGCAACGCGCAAAATACGCATTATTGTTTGGCGGCACGCCCATTTAAATGACGTCGCTAGTACGATACCCGGCTCGACCGGGTGGTATTCAGTAGAGACCTGAGCACAAAGATGAGCGTAACTGACAATTAGTCTGATTGAGTCGTGAAAAGTGAGTCGTAGATCAACACATGTTTGGTATAAACTGTGTACCGTATCATATGACATGCCAAATATTATATGTTGATTTATAACTATGCTCACGTTTCACGACTTAGCTAGTTACAGCCATCTTTGCGTTCAGGTCCTGACGCGTGTACCATCATATAAATCGCATACGTCGGCTGTCTAGTGTGGCAGTCGTGCATTTTCCCTTTAACTGTGGATTCCGTTTCGGTTTTTTCCACACGGCTTCGCCGCGGTAACGCGACTCGACGAGACGTCATATCACCATCCGGTGAAAACTCCCTACTGTTCGCTATATTCCGCTGAAATTTCCACTCAAATGCCAAGGTAGACATATCTTATCTGCTTTTTTTTTCCACACATTTTCATGATAGTCTGACAAAAACGGCGTATTATCAATGACATTCGCCGACAATGACAGCCATTGCAGTTCCGTATTTCGTTGTCAATAAACCTGTTATAATAAATATTCAATAAGATTAAATGCCTTGATTCGCGATATCTAGCCCCTGGCGATAAGCCGATTATCCTTGGCCTGGAGAAGAGTTATATGCATCCTGAAATTATATAAGCATTCTATATATCAAGAATTTCAAGATTCTTGGCAGTACTCACTGTGTTTATGTCCCGAATACGTCAGCTTCTCTTTAAAGAACAGCACCTTGTGACGTCGATCGGACGTTCATATATTCATCAAATAAAAAAAAACATTTGCGTATTGATATTTTAATGATTTGATAATCTTTTTCCTTTATCCTAATCCTCAATCATGTTTGCATATATCCTTGCATACAAATAATATAGTTATAAACAGGTTGCATTGTGATTTATTTAAAAATAAGTCAATTTCTTTAACCTTCGACTGTAGTCAGGTTATTTGAATCTGAAACAAAATTTGTAGATGATTGTACAATCTGTGTAGACGATTGGTACTATAAAGTTCTAAATTGTAATGTAAGTAAAAAAAATTAAAACCTCTATCAATCGTCATAAAGATTCATTTGCATTCTATTTTCAAAATTTAAACAAGATGCTTTAGAATTTAGATGTTATAACAAATAATAAATATATTAATGTATATATATATATATATATAGGCATTGAGAGCATCAATACAGTGTGGTAATTGGAACGCATTCACATAATATATTCTTGACACAATAGATTGTTATTTGTTGAATTTGAGCCCTATTAAATAATTTTTTTTTTTAAATATATAACTTTTTACTGCAGCTATCGTTGAGGGTTAAATGTTGAGATGTACTTGATAGTGTTATAAGATCTAGAATTTGATTTTCATAATTAAAATGTACATTGCAGTGAAATGTCTAGTAAATTCATAGACGAGAGTATCTTAGAGGAAGGCTCCAGGCTGCAAGAGCACTACCGTATAACATTGGGCGTGGGGCCTCTGTGGTGGTCCTGATGTGCCCCATGCCGCATCGTCTGTATCTACAGTCAACACAGAGAGCCGCGGTGTGGGGAACGAGCAGAGTCAGCTCTCTGTGAGCTCCCAAATTATAAAAGTACGTACTTTTCATATTTAAAGGTATCTTCAGAAATCGGTAATTTATTTACGACTATAAATGCAAATAACGTACATTGGTCGAGAGCTAACATTGTTTTGTTACGATATACAGGAGGATGTATTGTTGGAAGCCGTAGAAGGCACCGAAGAACCAGTGCGTATAACATTCGTTCTCCGCTTGACTAGAATTACATCTGTCGAGTGGGAGACCGTAGTATGGCACCGTTGTCTATATATTCGCGTACCCGTCTACTTTCTGCCTGAAGGATCAAAAGATGCCTTTCTTTCGCTCCTAGAATACGCTGAAGATCCACTACACTGCACCCATGTTATTGTTTGCCTCCGCAAAGATAGATCAGATAGAGGTATTTGTCGCTTGCTTTCCTTCGGCACAAACGTCGAAGACTTTTTTGTGTTAATAAGAAAGATTTACCGTCTGAAATCATTTTATTGTTATGATATAGGAATACTGGTTCGTACTTTCATGTTCTTGGGTTTCACGGTCTTACCGCCAACTCATGCCATGATACCACCAGGCAGTGACGCTGGCAGTCTCTACATGCTGTATACCATCGAGTAATCGGCAAGCAGTTATGCCTCTTAAATTTAACGCGCAGATATTGATTCGAGAGAAAAGATACTGAAGTTTCTCTGTTCTACAATTTTTTTATATTATTTGATTATCAACTCATTTTTCGTTTACTGTAACGACTTTCTCCTCGCTTTCTCATGAATTTAGATGTAATTATTTGTGTTTATTATATTCTATTACAGGTACACCATAAGTTTAAAGTAAAATTCTGAAAAGGATATTTGGAAAAAGGCACAATTTTACTTTTATATTTTAAATTTTATTATACATATGTAATTTGTGTTTTCTTATTAATTGCAAATTAGGAACCTTATTAATTTTGCAAATCATTTAAATCGAATGATTATGTCTAGTGCAGATAAACTTCGGCGTTAAATTCTTGAGGCTTGATGATAAAACAAAAATTATAGTCGCGAATACGTAGAACACATACATAAATGGCTTTCAATGGATATATCGATTCATTCTCTTGAACACAATATAACTCTTATAAGAGCATATAAGCTGCTGACAAAGCTTCCCACGTGAAAGAATTTGACGGAATCTGTAGTCGTACTAAACAACTAACACCACGGCGAGGAACTGTCAAATTTTAGAGAAAATTTATTATCGATATATCTCAATGTTAATTGTGGCAGATTGGGTATCACCGCGTTGTTCTTCGTAATATATATATATATAAGTACATTTGCTTATTTTTAAGTATTATCAATATGTATAATCTAGACTTTAATATCTGTTATGCGAGTACCAACAAATAAGTTTTAATTTATCATTTCATTCTATTATTTAAGAACGACATTATTTATGAATAATTGACTGATATTCTTTATAAAATGTGCAATTATTTTTCTGTAATATTTTCGTAAATAATTCATGCTTCTGATTATGAAATAAAAAGAAATCGCGCAAACATCCAGTAAAAATAAAATTTGGATGTTACAGTTGACTTTTCGAAAAATCTGAATCTTTTTGAAATTTTTATTTATGATAAAATGTGTTCGTACAAATTGAATACTAATTAACTTAAAACAGTGCTAACTATCGTGTGGATAGCACAATTTTGCAAATTTAAAACAATGAATTAAAAATGTGAACACTATGTTGCACTGATTGAACATAAGGAAAAACATTTCATAGGATAATTGTCCCAATTTTACTATCGCTTTAAACACAATGCTAATTGATATGCTTATTTTGAAGTTTTTAAGATATATAATAGACATCATTTCTTTATTATATTCAAGTGTCTTTGTTCAAATACAGCACGTTCAATGCACTGTCATATATACCTAATACTATCACTCTTGCACACTGTATCAAAATCATTTTGAAAATGATTATGAAATAATTAATTACGGGCCGATTGTTATTTAGTGATGTCTATTAGTAATATTTATTGTATCGTTTTACATTAAGAATACCTATCTACCTATCACTTCTTTAGTTAAAGACGTTAAAATTGGCAGTAATTAGCATTTGTACAATTAGAAGTTTTATAATTAGAGTAGTCATCTTTTTATCATTATTTTATTGAAATATTATTTAAACGTTATCATAAGATTGCTTTAATACATATAAAAAAAAGTGAAAATACTACGTGTGCTTGCACTCTTGGTCATGCAATTTTGCTTTCTGTATCTAATTAGAAGAACATGGAGTTTGCGTCTTTAGCGACTTTCCTAACTCTAATTATTTTGTAGATGTAAAACATCGAATATCTTATGCAATTGTGCTTATATCTGACAGTCGTAGTTTAATATTAACATTTTTAATGTATAACGATCTCATATTTCCATATTAACACAATATACGGAAAAAAAAGCGGCAGTAATTGGGACAGTTACCCTATTCTCAAAATATTCAAAATTGGAAGGTACTGAATTACTATTAAATCTTATTTATCATTATCTAAGCTCTATATGTTATTAATTTTTTATAATATATTCTTAGGTGATAGTATATCTAAGTAATAGTATGTTTGGTAATTCCCAATCAGTTAACATTGAAGAGATTTTGCTAATAAATGCGTTCTTTAGTGTTGACTTGATAACAGACAACATGAAAAATAAGTAAAAATACAAAAAAAATGAAAAATATTAGAAAAAGAACAAAAAAATGTTAATAGCTTGTTAGGAATATAGATAGAAATAAGTACAGAGTGACGGACTATTATATGTTACTTCACGCAAATAATTGTCGATTTATTTTAAGTTTTTAAATTCAACAATTCCGTGCATTTTATCAGTTAGTATTATGTATTCGTACTTCTGATCATACATACACATATGAACACACAGACACATACAAAAAGTGAATATGTATGCTACGTTTCTTATTCATTCATGAAAACATAATTGCTAAATAAACATATAATAAAACCTACTATATTGTTGCTTTATACTTACCAAATTTATTTTACAATTCTATTTACGTTTACGTCAGACTTATAAAATAAAATGCGGAATACGTAATTACTTTTATTCAGTACAAAGACTTTTGTGCACAAAGCGTATAATTATAATCAAAAACATTATTGAAAGATAAAATTGTAAATGTAAAGGGGCATTTGTTTTATATTTTTATGTGCAAAAAATATTACCGCAATATGGTGAAACTTAGCAAATTTTATTAATATTATAATGTACAAAAAACTTATCTGCAACTTATCCTGCTTAATGCAAATGAACGAAATCTATATTTTAATCTAATATTTTAAAACTAAAGTATGTTTACTATTATGCCATCATTTATATTTTTTATTAAATTAGAAATAAGAGAGGAAGAGAGAGAGAGAGAGAGAGAGAGAGAGAGAGATTTTGAATAAATCAAATTTTTGTTCAAAATTCCATCAAAGTAAAACTTCAAGAACAAATTTAATATTTTCATTGTATAAAAAAAATCATGTGTTATATCTCTCATGTTTTATATATATATATATATTGATTTTCATAAAAGCGCAATCGTGTTTCTTGTTTTTGTTGAACTTAACCGCGTGGATTGGATTTCTCATCAGCTTCCTATAATTAATTTGAAGGATTAGACATAAAAAAAATAAAAATTATACATAAAAATATATTGTACCTCAGTTTTCGGAACTAATCCTAAGCTATTGAGCATACCAGATGATGCGGATTTTTCAATGGGACGTGCTATCAATTTTTTACACTTTATTAAGTGTCTTGCTGTAACATGATATTAATTGAAATTAAACTCTATTAATAATACCGAATATATATTATATCTTTCTTCAAGATGATTATACCTAATTGGTTGCCATCAATCGATGTATACCCGCATAAGCATTGCAATTTCTTATCTAGCGGGATATTAACTAAAGGAGATGGCACGATCAGACTGGTTTTCGGTCTTTCATTATGAATTTGTTGTTGATGTTCTTGGAATGCGCGCCAACAACACGTAACATAACGACACTGTTGACATCGCTGCTCACCACTGTATATTATATAATTTACGTTATTAATCATAAGATTGTTGATTTTAGAATGTACTTACGGATAATGTTCATCTTCGTCAATATCTTCTTCACATTCTTGACAGGATAAATATTTGACGGAAGTATTTACTGTAATTGGTCCAGTGCTCCACTTGTGTATTTTTTCATATGGTGGTAATTCGGGTAGAGGACTATCTACAGTAAATCGTGTCATTTCCAGTACGTCTTTTGTGATCATTATACCGCTATTGCCGGCTGAATATGGCACTGCTTCTGTATATTCATTTTATGATTAAATGATAATTGTAATCTTTTCATATAAAATATCTCTAATTTGTTAGTAATGAAAAAAAAACTTTATACATGCAACGCAAATATTTAACCACACATTTAAGTATTTATATATATTTACTTGAATTAAAAACATAATCGTGTAATTCCCGCTGATGTAATGTTAAAGAACTCTTTTGGTTGAACCAGAGACAGCATCTTGAACATTTGTTGCCTTTTCCTTGATCCCTTCTTACGATGTGCCTTTGCATGTGCGTCAAATAAGCGTACACATTGGACGCGTTTGGATTGCCCTCATTTACAAAATTTATTACCTTTCATAATAGAAAAGTGTTGTATTAATCTATATTGACACAGCAATAGGAATATCTGTGTAAATATTTTTCTCTTCTTACTTTAAGACAATATGGGCATTGTAATCCTTCGCTCTTTTCATGAATCTTATAATAATGATCTATAACGTCCTTATGACTGGATGTACGATAGCCGCAACTTTCGCAATGATATGGCATCTCGGAAGGATAATGCATCAATGACAAATGATCAATTAACGATTTGCTTTTTCCTGAACGAGAACCATGTACAAATGTGATTACTCTGTATTATTACAAGTCGGTTTGAAAATATCAGCTTACCAAATTTCTCCTCGCAAATAGCACAAACTACCATGACGCTTTCAGAATGACCGAAATTGCTGTGTGTTTCTGACACATGAGTAATCAATTGATGCCGAGACGATAACGGAGTGCAACAATATCGGCATACCGATAATTCCGGTTGACCCGGCACTTGCGGTGGTACATGACTAACCATATGCTCCATCACTTCCGTATTAGATCTCATTATAGTCGTGCAGAGGAAACACTGTAAGTCCAAAAAATATATTTGTTAGATATAAACCTAATAGTATGACAGCAAAAAATTTTGAACAAACCTTGAAATGTAAGGAAACCCTTAATTCTTTTAAGATGTGATTCCTGTCACCCTCCATTGTAGCATAATATAATTCTTGAAGTTGAATTTGATCTTTCGGATCTTTTTCATTTTTAAGTTCTTTTTCTTTATTACTCTTAAGATCAATTATTACTCTTTTTGTTTCATATTCTGATGGAGTTATTATATTACTACCTCGTTTTCTACCCCGGCGCTGTGCTTTTGCTGTAATAGTTTCGGGAGGTTTCTGAGATATTACATCAGTTATTGAATCTTTTGATGTTGTAACTGGTGCATCAGTTGACTTGGAATAAGACCAATCTTGAAATGGATTAGCAGCTATATTCGTTAAACGATCTAGCAGAGACTCATCTGAAAAGGTATACAATCTTTTTATTCGATAATTTAATGTTGAATTCGCATATACAATCAGAAACTATTAAATTTCTATCCGTGATGTGATCAGTGGTATTTTTCACTCACTGGAATCGATTCTAGTTTGCTCCGCGACATGTCGTATAATATTATCAAACGCGCGTTCCGCTGTAGCGCCATATAGTTCCCTCCATATTAATTCATCTAAAAACTGTTGTATCATTTGCCTACTAAGCAAACTCAATGTGTTCTGAAACATTCTCGGCACAATTTTTCTAAGATATTCCATAATATGATAATTGCTCATGAGATTTCTGGAACTTTGTTCTGAAAATGAAGACTGAAAGACTTGATTATAGCCCATATCATTCAAGGTATTTTTATCGACAGTAAAATCCGTCATTATTTTGGAGTCCGTATGGACCCAGTCTTTTAATGGATGTAAAATATTGTTAAATCGTCTTCTAAACGATCTCTCCCCTTCCTGTACTGGTTCACAGGCGCGCAATCGTATGTCCAATGTAGAAGGATCGAGAATGCTGATAACTTCCACTTTCACCTAAATGTGAGAGCAAAATTCCGTCATTATTAAACATTTTTTTTTAGAGAAATAAGAAAATATCAAGATATTTCACCTGTCGTAAATGTCCATCTTGCGATGTCGTGCCTAAACTAATTACGCCGACTTGTATCACTGCATTTTTACCGCCCATCTTACGAGTTTTGTCCCATACTGCTGCTGTACAAATGCTACGTAGATTTGTATAAAAATTTTTTAGGTACATATTGGACACTTTAACCCAGGAGACTACATTTTGAACGTTAGTTTGACACGCCCAATGATAAATCAATTTTAATAAGACTGTAGGCGTATAATGGGCTCCTTGGAAAATAGAACCAGAAAAGACGGAAACGAATCTATCAGGACAACAACTAGATATCCATACATAACCACCGGAATAGGGAAATGTTCCCTGATCGCTGTACATTCCCAACTTGAGTTTAGGCTTCTGGTAATTCGAACTATGTTGCATACAGTATTGTTCCGATTTTACTAAGCCTTGCTGTATTAACCATTCAGCGAATTTTGTAGCAGAAAACATGAGCACATTTTTAACTTTAGCATCTAAAAAATTTCGGTTATTAACACGTATGTATATGTTTAACGCTACACACTTATTATATATTGATAAAAGAAAAAGTAAAAACAGGATATACCTAACGCCTGTCTTTCTTTTTGTGCACTTTGCGGTGTAATTTCTTTGTTACGTAAATTTGGTCTTGCTATTACGACTAAAGATGGGTAGGTTCGGCCGCCAGTTGTTTTGTTAAAAGTATATTCTCTGCCATCAGGTAGGTGCTTTTTGGAGTCATCAATTTGTTCGCTTGCTATAAAATGTAATGTGAATAAAAATTAATTATTTAATATATTGTTTTTAAAAATATTATAATGCTTCTTTGGTTTTAACCTGTATTTTTGTTGCCAATGGATATTCCACCTATACTAGTGTGTTCAGTGGGAGTGTTTTTGGTTGTTGATTGTACTGTTTGTTTAGTGACAGCCTTCACTCTGAGATTTGTCACATTTGGAGGAGTGGTAGTAACTAAGGGAGATTCATATTACTTCTATTAGTTATAAGATTATTCTCATTTTTCTTTCCCTTTATAAAATATATTAATTTATAAAAAAATATTCATTACCTTTATTTGATACAACTTGTTGTGATGCAGGCTTTGATTTCATGCGAGCAACTGTGGGTGCAGGCTATAAAAATAAATTTATTAATTATATTAACTAATTGTATTTAAAAAGTGTATTTAAAAATTCTGTATCTTCTTGTAAAATTCATACATCTTCTATAATATCAGGTTGTTGTACTTGAAGAACTTTTGTCCTACGTCCAGATCTGGTGTACTTATACTGAAAAAATAGTCCGTTTAAAATAAAAAAAATTAATGTAATAAAAAAAATAATGTGTAATAAATGTTAAGGATCTATTTTTAGCAAAGAAAATACAAATGAAATTGATAGTACATTCTCTTGTTGAGGCTGAGGAGCCACAGTCGAAGCTACAGATGTGGTTGTAGTAGTTGTTGTATCTGAAACTATATTTAATCCTTAATTGGTATTCGTTCCGAAATTTCTTTAATATTCGCGAGTCCAATGTTCCTAACAAAACTTCTAATATGTATCTTTGCTTAAAGTTAACATAAGTAAATGATTTTTTTTAAAAGTGAAATCTATGGAATAAGATTATGTAACTTAAAATTAAGGTTGTGTGAAAAAATTGTTATAAACATAGCTATCTGAATGTTTAGCTACATAATTGAAAATAAAATCCACTGGACCCGCAAATATCAATTAAAATTAAATTATCTTCAATAAACTGTAGAACAAGCAGCTTGTTACCTTGGGTTTGTGTAACAGTTCCTAAAATAACATGTCCCATACGTGGATCAACTACTAACTGAATATTTCCTTGAGGTCCACTAGAATTACTTGTAATATTCAATTTAATTGGTGTTGAATTCTTGTTTTGTTGAGTCTAGAAGTAGAAAAAAGAAAAATATTTCTAAATAAAAAAATATAGAGCGTCTGGTAATTATTGACATAACGCTTGTGGACAGATAAAACAGACTAAACTGAATAGAAAAGGCCTATATCATTTTATGATTTTTGCAATAACTAATAAGAAATTAATTTATAAAGATTTGATAATTATTATGATTTGATATATTATGTGCACAAATCAATGACAGACAGCCCAGTGTTTACAATTACTAAGCTAACAGTGTGGTAGTAGGAGTGCTTTATACAAAGCAACAGTTAAGCACAAGTGACACAGTCACTGTTTACAGAGCTGTATGCTTAATGATCTTAAACATTGTAGATGTGCTGGTTTCCAGATCTTTATAAATTTATTTTTTGTTAACCATGAATGAACATCGAAAAATTATAGAGGACTTTTCTATTTAGTTTAGTTCATTCTTTCTATCCATAAACATTAGGTGTACAAATTAATTCTCGGTCTTTTTTGACCAACTTTGACATTTATTTGACTGTCCAGTTGTTTTAGGCGATAGGCAACGTCTTGCTGGGTTACTCCAAGCGTATTTGCAAGTTCTAAATGCGTTTGGCAAAAATTCTCATTCAAAATTTCCTCCAACTCCACGTCTACCACTTTTTTTGGTTGACTAGGGTGTTCACGATTCTTAAGGTCGAAATTTCCCTCTCAAAACTGTTGGAACCACCTTTTACACTGTATGATACAGCATTCTTGCTCAAAGCCGAACAAATCATTTTTTTTGCTTCAGCCGCGTTTTTTTTTAAGTTGAAATGCGAAAAGAAGGCAGTGCATCAAATGTTGCTTTTCGAACGACATCGTGTTTACTGCTGATTTTTCAGGTTATGTTCACAGGAGGATCAAGTATTGAACCTCATTTTAAAGCTAAAAGATGGCATTTCAAAATAATTACAGAATGGGGGGAGGGGTTCAACTTAAACGGGTCTGAAGTCACTGAAAGGTAGAGGCCAAGAATTAATTTGTACACCTAATATATTAATAATTATCAAATGTCCTGTATATAAAAATTTATTTTTTCCATTATAGTAAAGTTTATACTAAAATATACTTACAACATTTAAAATCTGGGAAGTATTCTGAACTGCTGCTGAAGTCTGTGTTGGAGTTTGTGTAGGTCTGTAATTAATACATTATGTAGTAATTATATGTGACACTACTCTGCTTTGTTTTATAATTAGATATTTACACTGCATATTGATAACCACTGGTGTCTCCTATTTGGCATATCAATTTAGCTCCATGATCTTTAACTAATTCTTCTAACATATTTATAACCTGACAACAACATGGTCAATATATAATACATATTTATGTCATTAAGAAAAAAAAAAAATTAATAGATGAATTTACTTTATCATAATTCTCTTTCTGCTTTGTTTTTAATTGAAGCTGGGCTTCACTAAGGGGTTCTTCTGTACACTCCAAGTTCAAAATCATGTTGGGTGGACGAGCATTCAAGATAGAACGCGAGTACATCCGTGATCTTGGCATTTTATCAATTGATTCTTGTGTAAAAAAATCATAAACATTAGATGTATGATTATCAAACCCGAATTGTGCTCTGATCTACAATAGATAAGCTTTTATTTAGCCTTTTAATCTAAACTTAATTTGCTTTGAATTTTAAACTTTATAATTGGAATATAGTTACCCAAGCCAGCTTACTTAAAACTTACGAATTACAGCTTCAGCAATGGAAAGACTTCTTGTTTGAAAAAAAAAAAAAAATACATTATAATTTAATTTAAAGCAAAAAACTATAGGTTTATTACGCTGATTGCAGATCGATCCTTACATACCTTATTTAAACAATATAACAAAAAATAGAAAAGAATAGACAAAAACAAACTCTCTAAATGGAAGTTTAGATCTAAATCACTAATCGCAACAATTATCCGTAAAAATTTTACGAATACACCATAATATACAGATTGTACGTTTTTACTATCAATTAATCGATGCAATATCTTGATACGTTTGTTTCAAAAGAAACATTCAACGATCAACGACATTGACGTTAGAAAAGGATCCATACCGATACTCGATGGTCGTCTCCGCTTAGCTATCGTCGTACTATAGGTATATCGTATTTGTTGCATCCGATTGCAGACCCTGGACAGAAGCAACAATTCTTCGGGTCGCAAAACGAATTATCGAAGAAATGATAATTTTTTTATTCATCGACAGAAAGCCGCTGATTCACAACATAATGAAACATTAAACAATACGTAACCTAACAGTTATTAAACGTACCGGAAAATCTTGCAAAAGCTTGATAGTTGATGCTCGAAATGCGAACCTCTTGTTGAATGCGGCAACGATCCGCAACAATTTGCGCATTCAGATGCATCACGATTACATGATCGGTCGGTCACGTCGTGTACTACAGTTATCCGAGTTTATATTTCATTACATATGCCCATTTCCATCAATGCAGATTAACTTTAAGCTCGGTTCAATTTGTTTTTCATCTTTTTCTAATTCTAAAAATTAGAGAAAGATTAACACAGTAAGTTAAACCGAGATTAAAGTTAATCTGCATTGATGGAAACAAGCAATAAAGGGCGACGGTTACCATTGTTACCAACGCCGATTAACTTAATCGATGATTAGTCCATTGGAATTGACCAATCGCGTCTGTCGTCAAAACTAAATGATAAATGCGATTGGTCAATTCCAATGTACTAATCGTCGATTAAGTTAATCGGCGTTGGTAACAGTCGCCCACACATGTTTCGTCCATACAGGAAGTAAGATATATGTATGTATATACAATACAAGGGACGAGAAGACATTCTAGATAACATATTATATATACATATACATATATATGTATACATAGACAACTTGAAAAGCTTTTTAAGTCAGAAAAAAATAACATTTTTTCGGAAAAGTTTTATTTTATTTTTCAATATAATCTCCTTTTAATTCAATACACATCATGACATCATATGAAGCCGTCGATATCAGTTATATCTCTCTAACGCAATTAAGTATTTGCAAAATTGCTTCAAAAAATAAACTATGCCATCACGATATGAATGACTATAGACTGATCACTTCTCTCTCTTCTTTTTATCGATTGATAGAAAATGTGTTACATATACAATTATATAAGATTGTCTTTTTACTGCTAACTTAAATTTGACTTGCAACATTGAACAAAACGAAGAATGCAAAATTGGAAACACAATGACTTAATTATTTGTAATTTTTGTAGATGCTATATTAATGTTTTTTGTAATTTAACCACTGTTTAAAGATTTTTTAACTGTAACATTGAGAATGACCTGATCGGAGTCTAAACGTATGTATTATTTGTTTATTATGTTAAACTTCTTTGTTCACATGATTGTTATTATTATTTAAATTTAAATTACTTGTTATTACTGGCTCTTTGCCCTTATTCTATATACTTTGTACAAAATACACTTAATCCAACAATGCTACATTTTTTTCAAGCCGTCCAAAAAGTACAATGGCTGAAACTCTGCAAAATAGACCAATCTTCTTCGAGCCAAATCTTCAGGTTTCGAAACAAAAAGAAGTCTCATGGGGTCAAATCTGGAGAGTATGATGAATGAGGCAGCAATTCATATATCGTAATAATTTGGTCAATTTTGCGGTGGCAATTGCTGATGAATGGGACAGTGCGTTGTCGTGATGGAACAACACTTTTTTTTTGCCAAATGAGGGCGTTTTTCCTTCAATTCTTTGTCGAAACTGCCCAGCAAGTCGGTGTAGTATTTTCTCTCGTAATCGTTTTTCCCTTATCTAAGTAGTCGATGTGGATGATCCTTTTAGAATCCCAAAAAATGGTGGCCGTGATCTTCCTATAGCCGATGGAACTAACTTGGCTTTCTTCGGGATCGATTCACTAGATGAAGTCCATTGTTTTGATTGTTGTTTTGTTTCGGGTGTGTAATGGTGAACCCATGTTTCGTCCACATATCGACAAAAAATTCTCGTGGGTTGCGCTGAAACAGATCCAAACATACCTTAGAAACAGTCTGGAACGCACGCGTTTATTCTCCACAATAAGCAAACACGGCACTTATCGCGACATCATTTTTCTTATGCTCAATATTTCATGTAGGATATAAAATACCGTTCTTTTGAGATACTTACCATTTCTACTATCTCACGCAACTTCAAACGACGATCACTCATGACAATATTGAGCACATTATTGACCATTTCTTCGTTGGTAGCAGTTTTCGGGCGTCCACTGCGTGGTTCATCGTCGGTGTTAGTACGACCACGCTTAAATTCGTTTACCCAAAAACTGATGGTTGGTAATGAAGGAGTAGATGTGCCATGAACCTCTTGAAACTCTGCTTGAATCTGCGTAGCTGTTTTCCCTTCAAAAAATTGTGTTTTATTACTGCATGAAACTTCTTTTTATTTTCATTGTTGACAAAATGTTTGACTTGCTTTGTTTGACTGCTCGTAACTAAATGACTAATGGATACAATTGTCTGAAAATTTGACAGTATTATTCATAAAAGATGATGTACTTTTTGGCCATTATGTCTTTCTATCTCCGTGTGACTTAAGAAACATTTTCAAGTGGCCCACATACATATTAATCATTGAGTATTAATCCAAAGATGTCTTTCGACTATAATTATCACTATCTTCCGACTGACTCTAGGAATCATCGGAATAATCACTATCATCATACAAATTATACGTACTAATCGTCATCATCGTCATCGTTGGTAGAATTATTCAAGTCTCGGAAATCACGAAGATAGAACTAGAAAAGACACAAAATAGTTAATTTAATTTCGACATATCTATGACACAATAATAATTTGTTTGCCTTGCTTACACTTTGTTTATACTTTTACAATTAAAATGAGATAAATATATATCAGGGAATGGAAGTAACTCGTTACTTATAACGAAGTTAGTAACAAGTTATTTTTCTAACTTTACTGATAACTGTGTCACTTTCTTTTTTTGGTAAATGTGTGTTTATTAAAAAATTTAATATTTCAACCTCCATTTTCAGCCCTTAAAACATCATGTCTGCCAAAATAAAAAAATACGTATCAAATATTTTTCGATTCTTGATAAAATCTGCATAGGTAGAAGTCAATCCCGGAGTGGCACTTGGGTAGTGTTACTTGTGAGCTGTGTGTACAAAGCTTTACTCCGACGTTTCTGTGTATACATTTATGTTGAGCAATTGGAAAACACCCCTTTTTGCAAAACTTCTGCTATATATTTTAATTATAGCGTTATCATTTTCTTTCTATCTAAATATTTGATTTACAGCTAAAAATATAGATTAAGTAAAAATAAAGCTGTATTATAATAGAGAGATTATGTGTATTTTTTAATTTTTTTTTTAATTTCTAACTTACATTGTGATTCAGATAGTCCTGTACAATCCTCTCTTTTTCTATATATATAATCTTCTAGTTTTCTACAAAGTATAAAAAAATTCCTGAAACATCTTAACATAGCTGTCAACTGCTGTAGCGATCCAGAAGTGATTTTTGACAGCTAAGTAATATATACAGTACCATTATTTCAAGAATTATTTTGCTCTTCTATCTTCTATGTGATACATCGGACATATGTATATCTCAGTTTGCTGCATATTTTACAGGTTTTAAAATTACAAAATTGTGTTTAAAAAAAACTAAAAAATAAAACTATACATAGTATCAGTGTTGTACATGCTACATATATATTGCTTTTATTAAAATTTGAACAAAAAATACTGCAAGAGTACATTTTCAGACTGATTTTTAAAAAGTAACGGAAAAGTAACGAGAAGTTACCTTTCGAATAAAGCTATATCCACACAAACTTGCATAACCGCATAAACGTATGCATAAAGAAAATTATCCAATCACATTTTATGTGCATCTCTATAAGGGAAATGCGATTGGATAATTTTCTTTATGCATGCGTTTATGCAGCTATGCAAGTTTGCGTGGATATAGCTTAACGGTAACTGTAACGAATTACTTTTAAAAAGCGATAATTAGTAACGGTAACTCGTTAATTTTTTTACTCTGTAACGAGTATTTACTCTGTAACGAGTAACTGTAACTTAGTTACTTTTAAAGAGTAACTTTCCATTTCCTGATATATGTTGGGCGTTGCGTGCGCGCGCGCGCGTGTGTGTGTGTGTGTGAAGAGAAAGAAGACGAAGATGCTTAGTGTAAAAAATGTAAATAAGGTAAACAAACATACTTTCACAAACTCTCTATGACAAATATATCTTTGTAATACAAGTAATCAGAAAAAAAGATTGTTATATGCTTGCTTTATATTCTACTGAACTTGATGTACTTGTGAAGAACAGGAAATGCATAAATCATAATTATATGGTTTATTGATATCACTAATCTATTGTATTCAACTATATTGCTTATTTTAGTGATGTTTTTTTAAAAATTATATTATTTATTTATTAAATTATATGATAAAGCAAGAAAAAGGAATGCAAAAAAAAAACACACAGATAATTCTTGTCTATACATACATTCCTAAATGATGTTGAATTTTTCTTGTTCGAAGGCATCCATATCAGGACATTGGACTCACTTGCCGTTGTAAGTATAGGAATATGAGGATGACCCACTAAGCAATTACGACTCACCGCCTACACATTAAATAAATAAAAGTTATTTTGTGCAACACATACTACATTGAGAAAAAAATGCTGTTGACTCAATTAAAATCTATATCACGGGTTGTCACTAACATATAAGTAATTAATTCATGTATATTTTTTTGATACAAAGACTTTGATTATTAAAATAATAATCAAAACCTTTGTATCAATAAAAATATACATGAATTAATTACTTATGTTAGTGACTGCAGCCCGTGATATAGATTTTAATTGAATCAACAGCATTTTTTTCTCAGTGTACGAAAAAGAAAAATTTGTTTATCAAATGCACAAAATAAAAACACTTAACTATTTCGTGATTTCTTCTCAAACACTGTATCCCAGTTTTTTTTTTCTTGTCATAAATGAATATATTACCATAACAGCATTCAGTTATAATAAATTCACTTTTAGGTCCGAAAAAAATGATTCCTTGTATAGCTGCAATCACAACACATAACTGAGAGAACTTAATATCAACTATTAATAAATCAGAATTATTTAAAGCGTCGCTTTTTCAGTTACATGGGCGAAAAAAAATATAAAAAATGTACATAAAAAAATTTTTTAACAATAATCTCAGAATAAAAATTAATTAACAAATAAACCATTGAATAATGTTACTGTATGCTTCTTCTCTTTTGAAATATACATAAAAAATAAAGAGTTCTAAGAATAAAAAAAAGTAAAATGCCGGGAAAATAATAATAATGTAATTACATTTAACACGTTCCTCGTCGAGAGAGAGTTGATGTATTGTATGATACGAATTTCCTTCACATGACCACATTGATTTATCAAATAATAATATGTTGTCGCAACCACACAATGTGAGAATCTCTGTCCCGTCGTGATTATACATGGTGATTGTTAAGTTATGATAACTCTAATACATTTAAATTACATATGTAATTAAAACTCATGTAAAAAACATAAACACTGTAGTATTTCTTTAAATATTGATAAACTTTTCAGCAATAGGGTTGAAACAAACTAATACGTACCCTGTTATACTCTGGTCCACAATTTATAAAGTGGCTTCGAAAGATTTCGCTGATCATAAATCCTTATGTAGGGAAATTCACCGCTGACACAAAATTCATTACTATTAGAAGGATTACAATGTATACTTCCTAGTCTACTATCTTGAGGGCTCCATATCTCAAGCAATCTATGGATATGAATGTAAAAATGTATATATTATAAAGGATATATACGTGTGTATTACAGAACAAAAATAAACACTTTTATCGTGTAACTCAAAATTTATTAGTATCTATAACTAATACAAACACGAAGCCTATAACAGTCTAAATCGGATCGTTAATTGTTTATATATAAACTACCGCGGTATATTATCACGATTTAAAACAAGTTATTGCGAGGAATATTACTAAGGCCTCGGTAATCTAATTGGCTAGAACACTTGCGCGTAAAGCAAGGTATCCGTGTTCGATTCCCGGCCGAGGTAATATTTTTCATAATAAGAAGAATTATTTCCAGATTTAGTATTTTTCAGATTATTAGAAATGCGTTTCAAGACCAACGATTGTTCGGCGCACAGTTTGGGTGACTACGTATATTAGTTAATTATTCATTTGTTTTAATTCGTGATAGTACCGCGGTATATGTAAGATCCAAGCTAGATCGTTATAGGCTTCGTGTTTGTATTAGTTACGTTTTTAAATTAACGGTTTTTAGTATTGAATATTGTCAAAATTTAACATTGCGTCTATGTAGAATTTAATCGACTTATGCTCATTTCTACTAATTAACGTAGATTAAATTTAATTTTGGTTTAACTTTTTTTTGTTATAATGGTCGAACTTGGATCTTTTATGTCAACATATCCTATTTTCTGTTTCTTGAGTTTTAAATGTACAATTCAATAAGATTCTAATCATTTTTTCTAGTCCAAAGTATAAGTTGAACCAGGATTAAAATTAATCTACATTTATAAAAATAGGCATTAGCTCCGGTGCAAACAATATAAGTAAATTTCGGTTTAACATATTGTTCCTGTTTTTCTAATTTTTGGAATTAGAAAAACAGAAACAATTATAAGAATTAGGTAAAGATAAACAGTAAGTTGAACCGAAATAAATCAATATTATAGTTGAACAGGGCTATAGCTGTCATAACGATCCAGTCATCTTCTAATCACAATGAGATTAATTCGCATATAAGTACACAGGACGATCCCGCGCTACACTAAACGCCAGACAATGGTCGCGTTCAGAAGACTCAACAGTTTTATTAGGTGTACAAAAAAGTTCTGAGCTTTAGATTTCATACAACCGAAAAACCAATTTAAATTTTATATATCTTCCTGCCCTTTTGCGGTTTTAAAGCGTTAACATTTGGCCTTCTAAAATGCCATACGGTTTGGCGTTTGATGCACATAACCTCAAAAAGCAATAGTGTTCACGATGGCAATAACAAAAAAACATATTCGATTTTCCATTCACTTCGCGTTTCATCTGAAGAAAAATGCTGCTGAAGCCACTGCAATGATTTGTGCTGCATATGGAGAGAACGCTGTAAGTCATGCTACATGTAAAAGATGGTATATCAAAAGTTTCGCCAAGGAGATTTCAGTCTTAAAGATGAATCGCGTGCTGGACGCTCTGAAAAGATTGAAACGGGCGAATTGCAAGCACTGCTGGATATAAACTCTGCGCAAACTGAAAACGAGCTTGCAGAACAGCTTGGCGTTACGCAGCAAGCCATTTCCGTACGATTACATACGATTATTACATAGATTTTACAAAAAAAAGCTCAGAACTTTTTTGTACACCTAATATAACTATTTTATGATTCTTCGTTTAGATCAGACTATTTCTTTAGATCTAAAAGTATAATCCAATCAGCGAGACAAATTATAAAACGGTTGCAAAACTGTTGAGTTTGCTGAACGCAGCCAATACAACGATTTTACAACAAAATTAATATTATATGTAGCACGCACGCACGCACGAACGCACGCACGCACGCAAAGAATATATAGAAACATTATTACATATAAACTTTTTAGTAACAATGACTTACTTTGGTGTATCCTCCCGGATATCTATGGATAAAATTGAATCGTTTCTAGCAGAAAACACCATATAGGGTATTTCAGGATGCACAGCCAATGCCCAGTCTTTCTTCTCCTTACGGATCGGACAAAATAATGAATCATAGTTTATCAACTGTCTCGATAAGTTATGTTCAAGATCTAATAAACGTATACAACCATCGTCACCAGAAGTGACCATAAAATTTTCCACATCTAAAGGCAGCCATTTAGCCTAAACACATATACGATTAAATTAAAAAGATTAATATAAAAATACAATTAAATCAGAATAACTATTACAAAACATTTAAATAGCAACACTTTATAATATAAATACATACCTGTGTTAGGAAGTTATGGTCACTTGAAAAGCAACAACGCTTTTTCCTTGCAGCCCAATCCCAAATAGAAATTGTCTTTTGAGAGGCACTTGCTAATAAATTTCCTTTTTGATTGAAATTTAAGGCCTTCACAGAATCCTATAAATAATAATCAAATTTTAATACATGTCGCTATACATAATGATTAAAAAAAATCTGTAGTAATGATCTAAAAATAATATATAAAACATTGTATAATAAGTCAACATGTAATAAGATAAATAGTTTACCTCAAGTTCATTAAGACTATACTTAAACTCGAATCTATTTACTGCAGGTAAAGAACTATAAAATCTTCTTTGGAATAACGGATTACTACCTATTTGCCGATTTATTACTTCTTGCTCAATGAACCAATTAGGAGGCGGTTCCTTTATTTCTAAGCATTTTAAGTTATCAGATAACGTGTTTTCTTCTTTTTCTTTTTCTACTGCTTCTGCTTCCTCTTCTTTATTCAATTCATTCATGTTAGCAACAAAATATTCATTCAAGTCAGCTGTAAAAAATTTAGAATTTAAAAAAATAATGCAAAATTTATATGTAAATTTACATATATATCAATTTTGCATTAATTTTTTGATAAAATTAAAAATTCTAAATTTATATATATATATATATATATTAATTTAGATATATATTAAAAAGTAAGGTGAATTTTGTTATAAAATGAAAAATCTTTATTTATTCATCCAAATTAATTTCATCCCCTTCAAAGTAATCCCCCTCTGATATAATGCACTTATGCCAACGTTTTTTCGATTCCTGGAAGCATGCCAAAAAGTTGTTTCCCGGTATAGCGCGCAGGGATTCACGTTGAATCTCTTTAATAGATTCAAAGCGGTGTCCCCGGAGCGGTCTTTTGAGTTTGGGAAATAGCCAAAAGTCACACAGAGCTAAGTCAGGTGAATAAAGCGATTGCGGAACGATATGAGTGGAATTTTTGGCGAAAAACTCACGAAGAACAATGCCGCGTGAGACGGCGCATTATCGTGATGCAAAAACCAAACCAAATGATCCTTCAAAATTTTTTGAACTGATCCAATTGAAATGCCAACCATATCGACAAGCTCTCTAATTGTCAATCGACGATTTTCGAGCACCAATTCCTTGATTTTCTTGATGTGTTGCTCATCAATTGACATTGATGGTCGTCCGGAGCGTTCCAAGTTTTCAACACGGTCTCTGTCTTCTTTGAAGTCTTCGTACCACTTATACACATTTTCCTGCAACATAGTCGAGGGACCAAAGTTCTTCTGCAACAATCTGAACGTTTCCCTAGCCGAAACTCCAACCAGGAAACAAAATTTAATGAAATTTATTTGCTCATCAGCAAAATCCTGCATTGTAAAAATCGCCAAAATCAATTTTAGTCGTTTAGAAAACACAAGCGTGTCCGTCTACAATGAGATTGGCTGTAAGCAGTAAAGTACTAGGACGCAGGCAGTAACGCAATTTCTACAACGATGTCTGTCTACAATGAAACGGTTGCAATGGTATAATAGACCAATGAGAAAACAGACTGTTTGAAATCAGAAAAAACATCGTTTGAGGTTACGTGTAAAATAGATAATGCATAATTTACGTGCAAATAGTTTTTTCAGTACTTGCAACATCCCACGAAAGAATAAACTCGACCGCGATGGACGCGTTTCGGATCGAGTGCTTCACATTACTATATTTTTGAAAAGTGTTGTCGGCTTTGACTGTCTAGTTCGACTAACCATCTATATCTCGTCTACGAGGACCTGGGCCAATTATATCCTAAAAAGAAGAAGTATTTAAGACATTGCGATATTTTAATATCGGATATTCAGAAACTGCGTATCAAATTCACTGATTCATTTACTGATAATGCTGAAAATCGCTGTCAAAGTAACGCAAGACACTTACCGTAAGCCGTAGACAGTACCGAAATGTAAATAATTCATTTCGTTTACGGCTACTGTTGCGACCTCTTAAACCGGAAATACACATGGTCGAAGTTAGAGAACCTAGAGAGAATCGCCAACTTGTAGCGTTTTCCACTGGGAAAACTGGTGCAGCACTACTAGCGCCGTGCTATCCAATCAGCATACCATATTTAAAAAATATTTTTATATTTAAAAATAGAGAAAACTGTAGAGAAAACTGTCACGGAACGGAACTGGAACGGAATGCTCAATTCTAGTGAGATACCCGATCCGTCATTCCGATCCGTGCTTAATGGGACGGCACCTTTAGGCCGTCATGTCCTCTCTCAGGTTTCTCTTTGCCTAAACCAGGAAGTAAGATATAAGGAGACTCCACTCCGTAAAATAAAAGTGGACCCATTTTAGGTTTCGAGTTCAGCTTCCGATTCTGATGAGTGCGAGTAAGAGAAATGATCATTTCTCTTACTCGCACTCATTATGCGCAGCACTACTAAATTCACGAGCGCTGCGAGTGTCGAGAATCGGAAACGGAACTCGAAACCTAAAATGGGTTCATGTCTTGTAGACTGGCGAGACCGAGTGGAGTCTCCTTATATCTTCCTTCATGGCTCGTACCAAAATAATCCGACAGCGTTTACATCGAGCGTACTAAATGTTTATAGTACGAATTTGATACGAATATAGTACCTGATACGCGTATCAAGTGCACGATGTAAACCAGACCATTGGGCACGTTCAAGTTGACAAAGCGGCTAGCCTGCTCGCCGAGTAAATGAACATAATTGGTTATTACTTATAGATGCAAAACCAATCATAATTGATTATTTGACAATTTATACACATGTTATGTCTCTCTCTCTCATACAGACATAAACATCAAGAATCATACGCTAATTTGTGGATAAATATAAATTAAACAAAAGATTATACACGTATGAAGCTGTATTTAAATAAAACATTGTTTTTTTTTCATGTGATGAAATAATTTTGAAAATTTAATAAAAAAATGTTCTGATATAATTATAAAGTTAAACTTACGAACAATAACTTATATTTAGATCGGATATGTATTATGCGATTTTATTTAACCACTTCTTAAGCTCTTCAATGTCAGCTGACATTTGAGAATCATCACTAGACGCATATGATTCCACAAAATCAATCTGTGAATCTAAATGTGAGAATTCGAAGTGTTTTCCCTGTTTCCCAAGGAAGGCATTTGTCGACGATGCATCAGTAGCTTCCAATTGGCTAGTCTTCGTCATTCGCAGCAGATTCATTTCTTTTTCTAATAATGATTTTATTACATAACATCCATGAGCTGTAGTTTGATCTTGCTTGTTGCACATTATAAGGACAGGAACGTTCTTCTGTATATTAGGCTCTGATAATAAATTGTACAGATACCTGCAATGAAATATTAATCATATAGGCATCAGTAAAATTTATATAAAACATTTTGTTAAAAACATGAAATCAATTTTATTAAGTTCTATACTTACTCAGCCACATCTCTGATCTCCTTTTGAATAGTCACTGCATCAATTATATAAACCAGACCTTTGACAGATGATTTGTATTTGTCAAAATACTTGCCACGCAATCGTTCATCTCCAGGAATATCCACTATTTTTAAAGAATGCTAAACAAATACTTTTATAAGAACAATTACAGTATAAACAAATTACCATATAATTATAAATCTATTATATCACAAAATATTACTTAAATCTTACATAGTCAATTGTAATGGCTCCTATATTTTCCTTGATAGATGTATATGTCTTGACAAATTTGGAATATAATAATCTTGCATAGATCAATGTTTTTCCACTATCACTAAGGCCCGTTAAAAGAATAGTATTGCCTGTAGACTTTCTTTTGCGCCAGAATACATATAAAACTACAAAAATTAATTTTATTAAAGTAGCACTATTTTATATATATATATATATATATATATAAGAGAATGATGTTTATATAATGATATATACATAAGAAATGATGAATTTATATATAAGCAAATAATTCAAATATACAGAAAAATATATAAAATAATAAAATATATAAGATAATTTATGAAATAAAAGTAGTACATTCTCTCTCTCTCTCAATGTTAGAACATGTATAAATAAACATGCAAGTTACCTAATGTTATAACAATAAGTGCAGCAACCAGTATGGTTAGATTCAGCGACTGTGAACTGTCATTTCCTTCCGATAATTGTTCTACGTTTTTCTTCATTATTTTGTGATTAGTGATTCTCTCGAATCTTACAGTTTCTTGTCGACATATGCCGACAGATCTGTTAAAGGTTATACACGAGCACGCATCAGCATGTATGTACCAACAGAAAATTTGTAATCAATAACTGTGACATCTGTGCATATTATTGCGAAACTGTAAAATACATTTATCGATGATTAATCACGTGAAAATCTCTCTACAATTATATTCGCAAAACATGATGATTTACCAACCACTGATATAGCTTATAAATAGCATTTTAATGATAATTCAGAGCAAGAATTAGTTGAAGTTCACGTGATTTTTAAAGATGTCGCTGTCTAGATGGTGTAATCGATGCAGCCACCCGCAACTATAAAAACTTGATTAATTATTTACAGCATACATATAAATTATAGATGATAAATAAATAATAAACTTTTGCGTGTCAAAAAAATGATTGCACTTAAAACAGTTAAGATAAATAGCATTCGGATATTGAAGAAAAAGAAAGCAAAAATTCCGATTGTCAAAAATACACACGATAAAATAAATCATTATAACATAAAAATATAATATGAAAATAGTTTCCGAAATAATTACTAAAATTATTTTTCAATCGATAACAATTTATTTTAATATCATTTTAATATTACTGTGATTTTTGTGTTCTGCTTGATATATTTTTTACTATCAGAAAAATTGAGAAAAAGTTAAAATTACAAAATTGGTATATAAGTGGAACACGTACGTGTTTGTAATGTTTTAGTAATAATAAAAATAAAAAGTTATTAGCAATATAGCGATATTTATTTTAATATATTAAACGTCACTTTTTATTTATACCTAGAATAAAATATACATAATGTTTCGTAGGTAATTAAAATAGATTAAATTTTTATTTTATTATTTAGGAAACATAGGCATACATAATTTTTATAGTTGATTTTTATATTTAAGACTGCCTTAAGTATAGTCTTAAGATGTCATTATAGTCATTTAGATGACTGTATTAGCGGTATTATAGTCTCATAAATAAGATCGAACTGAACATTGGAACTGAATAATCGCTCATGATTTTTGGTCTGTCGATGCGCAATCACTCAGCGCCGCTACTTGCGATGTGTCGCTACTAACTTCATCGCGTATTCAAATTTTCCGTTGAAGTAAGTGGAGTTCGCGCCTAACGAGCATTGTCCGCGTCGCGCAGTATTAACAGGCGAGTCTCTCGCGTTTCGCAATTGTTCATTTGTCTCAACTACGCCATGGATGCAAGTGCAACGAAGTATCGGAAAGACCGCACGAAACAACGGGCAATCATCTCGATCGTCGTGTCCGCTAACTGCGGGATCGTGATTAGCCGTTATCTCGCGATTAGCTCGCCCACGAAACGGCAGTTATGGCAGCAATGGCAACGCGATTCCGTCGGTGAGCAAATTCTTGCAATTTTATAAATATTTTATAAATTCGACATAATCTTTATCGATTGATTTCTTCTCAGTGTCTCGACATTATCATATCGCGACGAGAAAGTAAGATTAGTAAGTATTAATGAAAAATAGAAATCGTATTACTCCGGTATTCCGACATAATAAGATGGCTGCCTTATTATATTTGTATTTTATTTTATAATCATTGTTTATTGGATGTAAAACAAAGATAGAATGTCAAATAGTGTTAATATATAGCGTCTCCCCGAACGCACTCTAGAGTGACAACAAAATGAATTTAGGCGAGTGCAACAAATATATGCAACTTTATTTCGTAAAAGCTGCATTTGCGCATAATGCAATTGATTAATTGATGAAAAAATTCGCCTTTTCTTGAGCTGCGTTTGATGAGCGATCTATCAGTGATTTTGTATCATTTTATCTTTATTATTTATTTTTAGATGTACAAAAGATACAAAAATTTTCAAAATTAGAAAAATAATAAAAAGTTGAATTGAGAGTAAAATTTTACGTTGGTAGAATCAAGTCTAAGGCTGCGTTTTATTTGACGCTCTTAGAATCTAAGAGCTCTTAGAATCATTTCTTTGTTTATTAAATGATAAACAAGAACAAATGATACAAGCGTTATGAGCGCCGAATGAAATGCAGTTTAAAAGTAACATCAATATTTTAATTTCATACTCAATAATGTAAATGTAATACAATACATTGTGGATTGTGCTATATAACAGTAGTACATTATTGAGTATGAAATTATGATGTACACGGAAAGAAAGATTTTGCTGAAATACTTAAAAATTTAACTAAATAACGATCTGAAAATAATTTTGTCAGTCCATCAAAATATTGTGTAAAAAAACTCAAGTATGATGAGCATTACTCCAAAAAATGTTGATATTCTAGCTATCAACTTCAGTTTTTTATTATTGTTTTGATAGTTTGATAAAATTTATTTTTTGGTCTATATATATCTAATTAAAATTTTAAATACTTCAGTAAAACCGTTTTTTGCATGCAGATGTTACATTACTTATAATTGGCGTCGACTGGATTGTGGCGAAAATCTACAACGAATAGTTTAGCGTTTCACGTGGAATGTAGTAATGTCTGATCTCTTTCTTCTTTTACAGATTGTTCGCGTTGTTTCTCAGGCATGGAGAATCCTCGAGGCTTATCCCTCGCGCGTACATCCATCCCGGTTACAGGAAGGGACGCGGGAATGAGCCCCGAGTGCTCGCATTTCCCGTACGTGGCGAAGAACAAGGAAGAGGGTTCGGCGCGAGATACGAGCGCACTTCTCCGTCAATTCGTCCACCGCATTCGTGAATTTATTGCATCGGTCGTGAGATGCACACCCGGACACGATCCAATCGACTCGCCGCTACGAATCGTCCCTCCGGGATAGCGTCCTGTCCGTCAGTTCTTCGTCCCGCAGATCGTCGAGACATTTGGCTCTCCACATCGATATCCCTGGAGGCTCCGCAGCTCGTGCGATCCTACTGGCCGTACTCCTCAATCAACGGTGAGTCGAACCTTTCTCAATTTATCTCCCGGCGTTTTAAACCATAAAAGGCTACAGAGAAGATATCTTGTCTCCTGTACTCGAGTACAGCGTGGGTCCTCAAGAAGAAACTCCTCTTTCCTTTTGTACACACTGTGAACAGTTTTTCTCTTTGCTTCTAGGATGGAAAACTTGCTCTCCATGCCGTTTGCAGGAGCAAAGTGATGTAAAATAATTAATTTTGCGACAAAATTTCTTATTTTGTACTCGAGTACAGCGTGGATCCTCAAGCCTTTTTTTATCTTTTGTACACGTGTCTACATGCCTATTTTTCATGTCATTTATAGACTCCTGAGAAGTGATGTAAATTATTTAATTGTCCACTAAATACAAAATTATAGTAATATTATATTAATATTATGATTTTTTTTATTCAACAATATAAGGTCCTGTGCACAATAAAGAAAGAAGAAGGAACAGGAATAAGTGTTATCTATTAAATACTAGAGAAATATAAAGAGGGAATAGAGTAAACAATGGATATAAATATGATATAAAACATTATATTATGTCTTATTTATATTGTGTTATTACGTTTAATTTTCATTTCTAATTTTTTTTATATATTTCTCTAATATTTAATATTCTTATTCCAAATATTTTTCCTTTATTGTGCGCAGGACCTAATATAACGTGTTATGCGTAACAGTTATATTATTGAGTAGAAAATTATAATATTAAAGCAATGTTACTGTTACTTTGTATTTAATGAGTAATTTTATGATAAATTTTTTTCTTTTTTTTTCTTTTACCTCTTTCGTGGAAGGACTTTTACTTATAAAATAATTTTAATCCGATTTTAATTATAAAACGCTGATAAGTTGTCGCGCGCGGCGAAATACGTACGTATCGTCGCGCGACTAAGATATTTTTATATAATAACACGTCCCAAAGAGCCGCTATAAATTCGCCGGCACGTTCTTAATTACGCTTCTCACGCCGATCCTCTCTTGTTAAGTATGTATCAATTATCGAGTGGCACGATCGAGCCTCTCTCTTTTTCTCTTGTAACGCGGCACGAGAAGATGATAGGTTTCAGAGATGTTCAAGAAGAGCTGCCCTCGTTACCGTCCTGCTTTATATCGCGAAGCGTCGTTTGGTCCCGATTCCGTCGATATATATAATCGAAAGTACGGTTCGCGCCTTCCCAAAAATAATTGTACCGATTGCGGTGTTCGGTCCGAACGTTATTTACAGGTAATCGAATCGCGACGGTTGCCCTTTCTGCCACTCGAATGAAAGGGGAATGAGCGGGAGGGCAGAAGGAGGAGAAACGACCGATTAAGTATCGAAGAGTGCTTACACTTTCTCCGATCGTAATTCCGCAGGAGGGGATGTAAAAATGGAGACACAGATCGACGGACGGACTACCGTAAAAGCGGGAACTCGATCTCCCGGTAGGAGAGAACCATGCAAAAAAGGACAGCGGTGTGATAAAGTACAGGCAAAAAAAGGGCGCCGTTGGGACCGAGTTGGGGTCCATCGAGGTAGAAATGGTAGAATACGGTCGCGCGAGTTTCTTATACAACACGACAGAGAAGATCCGCAAAAAAGGACCGCCCCGACCGCGTACGGCGCGCAGAAATCTGCAATTATATCGCAAAAAGAGAGCGGCGAGCGCGGGACAAACTGCTTCCTGGCCCGTAAACAATGTCGCCAAATAAGTCGCCGAACATAAATTTCTCTACTCTTTTATTTATTCTCTTCGTAGGACTTAAGATCGGTATTCAGAGTCAGTTCTTATATTTAAGACGGTTTTAAGTATAATCTTGAGATGTTATAAGCTAATCACAAGCCGGTATTTAGTCCATTCTTATGGGCTTTTCATAATAAGCCATTACCTCGGCCATTATCCAAGTTTTTAGTTTTAAGCTTTAAGAAATTGTTTTAATCGTAGTCGATTATTCTTCTCACATTCGACTGTGATTAATCAATTTTTTAAAACTCACATTTGTAGAAAGCTATTGTAGAAAGTTCATTATATGTATGTAGACTATCTTAAGTACAGTCTTAAGATGTCATGAACTAATCAGAGAGCTGCATTAGCATCTTACAAGACATTACTTAAGACATCCTTAAGATAAAAACGGATTT